TACTTGCCCTATTCCCAACCCGTCCGCTAGAGTCAAATCTCCTTCGAAACACGATAAACTATGTTGAAGATAAGAAATAAAATTATATTTAACAAAAAGAAAATTTTCAATGTCATTTATTGTTTTAGGAAAATAATCTAAGAATGGTTTTTTTTGTATTATTTTTTTATAACTTTACTTATAATTTAATTGATTGATTTTTTTTATTCATTTGAAATTTGTGATATTAAATTTATCAATTTATTTAATTATATGTAGAAATTATATAAAAAAATGATACAAAAAGATTGTTTCTATATCAATACTTACTATTTTATTATTTTTATTTTAAAATAACTATTAATTTTAATAACTAAATACTTATAATAGACAATAACTAATTAAATTTTAAATATAAATAAAGTAAAATTAAGAATTAAAGTAGTTTTTAAATTATTTAAAATTAAAAAAATTCACATAATCATCTTTTACAAGATGGATTTTTCACCTAATATTGAAAATGTAAGATAGTCAATCACTTAGCGGAAAAATTAGCTATATCAGCACTTAACTAATAAAAAGATGAAATTGGTGCTAAAAATTGGAGTTAAAGAACCTTTTTGGTACTTTTTGAAGTTTAAGGATGAATTGGTTCAAAAATAAAAGTTAAAGGACCAATTCAGGTATTTAACCTAAAAAAATGTTAGTCACGTTAGCATCGCCACCAATTAATCTTTAAATAAAAAATGTTGAAAGTTAATATCTTTAAATAGAAAATGTTGAAAGTTAGTATCCTTATTTAGAAAAAATTGAAAGTTAATATATTTATTTAGAAAAAATTGAAAGTTAATATCTTTATTTATAAAAAAATTGAAAGTTGACATTTTTATTTAGAAAAAATTGAAAGTTAACATTTTTATTTAAAACTGATAAAGTTAACATTGTTAAATAAAAAAAATGCAAAGTTGACATCTTTATTTGCACCTTTACACCTCGAAAATTAAGTCCCCAACTTTGTCTTTATCAAAGTATTATCATTATTAGAATAAAAATTTATTTATACAAAAATTTTATACATCATATTTATATAGAAAATTAACTATTTATTTTTTATTTTTAATAGTTATCCACATTTATTATAGATAATTATTTTTTTATTTAAAAAGTAGTGAT